GATCCCCTCAGCACCGTCATCGTCTGATTTCTCTTGAAATTAGTGCTCTAGCGAGAAGGCGCAATCGTCGGTACCGATCGGAAATATGAAGTCGCGCCGCTGCCACTTGTCCCTTTTGTGCAAAAGGCTCGGAATTCCGTTTTTTTGTCAATTTCACGGTCTTGAACTTTTCACTCGTGTTCAGACCAAAGTGGTAAAAATAGGTGGGGAATCCAAATCGAAATTTGTCCGGGCACTGCTCTTAAAGATTGCATTTGTGATTAAGTGTTGTTGTATTGTGTTGAGTGTAATTACAACAGCATTCATTAAAGAGGTGAGTTTACTTTCTTTCTATCGCAGCAGATTACAGCATTCCTAAATAATAAAGTTTACTATCTTGCTCTTTTCCTAAATGTTCACTCACGTATCACAATTTTGCCTCATCAAAAAATTCACTTGTTTCTTTCCTAAGAAACTTTTCAACGAGAAGTTAGTTAACAATTATACAATTGCGACCTTGTCTCTACTAGCTAGATACTTTTGTATAGTTATAGAGTAAGCATTAACATCACAACACAAATAAAGCTGCATTTGCGTTGGCTTGAAGTGCTCAGTGTATCTTCAATAATCATAATCGTTCCTAGAATTTTTCAAAGAGTAATATAGATTAGCGATATTGCTAATATTTCGTCTCGCTTCACCAACTACGATTAACCTCGTAGAACTACGATGTTTAGGGGAGACACGGTGAGCCTGGCGTCTGCCAACAGAACTGCTCTGTTGGTTTTGATTCTCAGAACTTGGAGCTTCTCGCACACGAATTGATGCCTATACTCAAAAAAGAATTGAAAGAAATCAGAATAAAGCATGGATATCCTGGACCTCCAGGGATACCTGGTCCACAAGTGAGAATGAGTATTCTAATGTTTTACTTTTCAAGACGCTTCGCTTACAGGGACCTCCTGGACCACTTGGACCCGCAGGGCCACGCGGACCACAGGGACTTCCGGGACATTCTGGTGAGAAAGGCGACAGAGGAGAGATTGGACCTCCTGGTTTACCCGGACAACCGGTGCTTGCTGTTAATGTTGTTGCGGCTCGTGTTTTAACTGATGATTGTGTGCTATTTTCACACAACTCATTGATCTTCTTTTTTTCAGGGTCAGACATATGAAATCCCCTCGCAGACTGGTGCTAGTGTGCCAGGGCCACGTGGTCCACCAGGACTTCCTGGACCACCTGGTGAGAAGGGAGAGCCAGGAGGGCCTGGACTTCCTGGGCAACCCGGATCACTAGGATTACCGGTATGTTTAAAGTACACTCTCAAAGGCGCATGTCAATCTCGAAAACATCCAGGGTCCACCTGGTCCTATGGGATTGCGCGGCCCACCTGGAACTGAAGGCCGAATGGTGAGAGTACACAATTTCTCACACAATTTTTCTCTGTTTTGCCACTTTAGCAAAGATTATGAACGTGTTCTGAAATTACTTTCATGAAGGGGAGTGCCATTCAACGTGCAGTTCGTTGAACTCAACTAGAGTTCTGCGAGGTGGTGGTATTTTTTCTCGCAATCTATTTTATGTGAATTGCATGAGCACGAAGCACGCGATCATGTAGATTCCCGTGATTTGTGGTAGATGTGAAAAAAAGCCGCTAGTGTCGTGAGACTTTGCTACAGTTGTTTTCCCGACTTTATGAGGCTTTTTAGGGTAAACAAGGATTGGTTGGACCAAAAGGAGACATGGGACCTATGGTATGTTGATCTCTAAGTTGTGCTTTAACAATGGAGAAGACTCACTTTATATTATTCAATTTGTGCAGGGACCTGCAGGAACTCCAGGACATCCTGGCACACCCGGAGAACGTGGGGCAGATGGTACGCCAGGCGCGAGAGGTGAAAAAGGAGATCAGGTTAGTCAAGATCTTTTTGTGAAAATGGTTTACAAAGATTACCTTTTCTAACAACAGTCATACAGTCACATAAAGATTATTCAGTCTAATTGTTTAGAAAGGTTCGCACACCGAAGAATCGGAGGCGCGGCAGATTGCAGGCGTAATCGCAACGTAAATTCTTGCTTGATTAGATAGTTAAAGCAGATCGCTCAATGGCAGAATTTCGTTGCGGATAGGCCCAAGCAGAGTATGCCTGCGAGATCTTAATGCGCGAACTTCTAAACGATCCCAGTACAAGCAGACTTCACTTACTACTTAGTCTACCTTGATTCCGTATAAACTTCAAATTGCATGTATGAACTATAGTTTTCTAAAAGGACTCAGCATTTTCCCAGATCTTGACAATCCGTAAACGCTAATTTCATGTTATATTTAAGTTTGATGTGTTAATATAAACATCATCACAGCAAGTTATGCTCAGTTGACTTCACTTTCATCGGCTATACTTATCTTTAATAGATTATATAACCTTATATATTATTAAAGGGAATCCCTGGCCTCGATGCCCCATGCCCTACAGGACCGGACGGGTTGCCTTTACCATATTGCTCCTGGAAACCAATGGATGTAAGCCCTTCTATAAAATTCTTGACATTTGTTAATGCTCTTTGCTATCCACAAATATTACCTTTCCAGTAAGAGTAACGAATTTATATGAACTT